AAACGACAGCGCCGTGCCGGGCCAGAAGCACACGCCACTCCTTTGACATCATGTCACATTGGGAGCAGATTATCTCCTCTTCCTCTTTTCCTTCTTTTCTGTTTTCCTCTGAGTCGACAGCCTCCTGCCACAGCGCTTTGCAGAACCATTCACAGGTGACAGCCTGTCTGACTCTGCCTCTCCATCATGCTCACACTCTCACTTTTGTCTGTTTCCCTTTACTTACCACCCTCTGCACCCTCCCTCTGTATCTGAGCGTTTTGTCTTTCCTCTGTATATCTGAGCACTCTCCTTCACCTGTATCCCACCCCTGAATCTGTCTCACTCTTTCCCTCTCATACTTGTTCTGCTCCCCTATGGGGTAATTGCTCGGAGCCAGACTTCCATTTTTATGACTATAATCGAGGCCAGAATGCTTATGCCTCTAGATTTCTCCTTGCCTGTGTCACAGCGGCAGCACTGGGGAGAGGAAAGGCAGATAAGACCCTGAGGAGTGGAGAAAATCACTAGTCGATTGTAATTAGCGTCCTTATTTCGCCTATGGGAGGTGGAATAGACACTATCGCCTGCAGAGAGAATTCAACCTTTCTGCGGAGCTTATAGCATGGAAATGCATAATGGCAAAAACACTGCCTTGCAGCTTTGCCCTGACCCCAACTATTAACTCCTTAAGCTTGGCCACTTGGACAAAGACGACTGTGGCTTCATTAAAACATGATAGAGGCTTGTATCTATATCTCAAGTGGGTAATATTTCAGCTAGCTCATCAAGCCTTTAAGAGGGTGCTGGAGTTGTAGCACTCAAAGCAAGGTCAGCTCATGGACCTTTGCATAGAACGCTGGAGCCTGTCTGTGCCTGATTTGGATGGAAACCGGGTCACAGAGTGTAATTCCAGTTTGCAAGGGAGAAGCAGGAGGCAGACTGATTTTTCATGTGTAATGGACAAAGTGGGAAAATTCCACTGTGGTGTTTTCTGGGAGGTGGTGTGTTGAAACACCATCGTGCGGCGCGCCTAAGAGGCCCTTTTTGCCAGTGGTGCGGTACATATAGGCATGTCCAGGCACAGCTAATAACAGCATTACTCTGAGGGTAAAGACTCATAATGGGGCAGGAAGAGGAGCACACCAAAACACATGCGTTTCCAAGGGCAAGAAACTGCAATCTTGATACCAGAAATGATCTGCTCAGCCACGCTTTAAATTGCAAGGACTAATTTGACCACAAAAATACATTAATGTTTAAAGGAAAAGCTCTCCACAACACAAAAGGATAAAGAATTAAATCAACTCCCTCCTCTGCTCTGAAGCTCTTTTAGCTGTAAACACATCTAAAGTACCTGCCAAATAAAAGGCACTGAATTTGCACAGGACTTCTGATCAAGACCCTTTGTGTAAAACAAACACAAATACAAATATATACACACTTGCTACCAAATGTGGGAAATGTGCGGCTGTTGAGAAAAAAAAAACCCTTCATTCATAACTCTGGATAAAAACTGTTCATCTCTGACATTAGCACAAAAAAACCTGCTCATGGAGTTTTATCTGCTTTATATGCAGAGTCATTTATGGCTGCAAATGTGCTGTGTTTACAATATGCCCTGACATTTCAAGTTAATAATAACCCTTAATGCAAACTATACATAGCAGGTTTACCGTCAAACAACGTGCAAGCTGTCAGGAAGGCACAAGCCACGTCATCACCTACCATGCCTCCCACTCTTTCCGATCCCCCAGCCTACTGATGCTGAAACACTAACATAACTAAAATAGGCATACTAACAACCAATTGAAGACGTGTATACATTAAGGAGTTCTTGGTGAGGGCGAAATCAAAGTTGATGCAACTAAAGAGCTCAACGTTCCTGCAGCTACTGCTCTCCTGGGAGATGAGATAGTAAGCAGAGATGAGGGCAGAGTGATCAATACTCTTTAAAGACCTGACCTCACACTCACTGATGCCTGCTCACTTGTTACCACAGGCTTCCTTACTAGACAACCTCCTGTATACTTGTTTCAAAATCAGATTTGGCTTGATCTCAAAAGGCTGTTGAATATGGCTCCAGGTGCTACTGCCAGAATACTCCAACATCTAGCCTATAAAAGGTTTTCATCCATATGCTACAGTATGTGCATTTAAATGTGTGCATAAGAACACCTCACCATTCCCTTAGCGGTAGTAATGTACTTTTTTTTGTAGCAGATAGCTACTACCCAAGAGGAGTTAAACTTTTATTATTTTATTTGTGAGTTTGCGAACAAATTGACTGTACTGAATGCATTTCCTTGCCGATAAAAACATTTGCAGAGCCAATTTAAAAAAATATTTAAAATCCTGCATTGTTTACAAGCTTGCACTGTAGAGAGTTCTCCTAATCAGGTGATGATATGGTATATTTTTATATGCATGCAAATACACACAGTGTTAGCTTAGACCAAATGCAGTCAACCACTGTATTCATTAAACTGTTGTAAAACTAATAGCCAAGTCGTTAAAAGCCACTTGATTACATGTGGCAATCAACACACATGAGAATAAGTGAACAAAGCATGCCCATGTTATTGTAAAGTGATTTCCTTGGATAATTCAGGATTATAACCCTGCCCTTTTTTTTGAGTCGAGAAGCAGAAAGAAACCGGATATGCAGCAAAGAAGATACATTTTCTCTGAATAAATGAGGCAAAAGAAAACACTGTCACATTTAGCGCTGTAACATACTGTTATCATGCCATTATATTGAGGCAGCATCTGGCATGCAGTGAAGCGGTATCTGACATCCACGTCAGATGCCATTAAATCAATTATACTTTCAGTGAAGAATCAGCATCCCCCAAAAAGGCTCATCGTTTTCAGTTTTTACAGATATAAGATATATATAGAATAAAGAAAACACTCTTCTAAAAGGACATTTTTAACATACTTTAAATTCAGATTTTAAGTATGTACTGCAAGTGGTCTTTTTGCTAGATAATATGGAACTATATAGATAAGACACACAAGAGCATTGTGATTGCTGAATTAAAAGACAGTCTGTCAGGATGAGTGCCACAGCCTCCCACTGCTTCAATTACACTTTAGATGAAACAGATTTTTTTTTTTAAAACGAAAAACAAAAAACTAGGTCTTAGATAATCCTCGAAAGAACCCCTTCGGTTAAATTACATTTTAATAAGATAATAAATACTGAAAAGGGGAAATTTGTAAAGTTAATTCTTAACAGTTGTAGATTTTGTGGATGAGCCAGGCTTGACAAATTGCATGTGTGGTTCTTCAAAGCAAGTGGAAATGGGTAGCAAGAAAAACATTGACATTTAAACACTTAAATGGGGTCTGTAATAAACCATTATGGATGTGTCATCCAGATGGTGGATCAGTGCTATTAAGTAGGCACGGAGCAAAGGCAGGACTCTAATAACCAGGAACAGCAGCACGACAGAACCAAATTAACAGCAAAAAGACTGGGGCTTGTTAGCAGTCAGATTGGAAGAAAGAGGGAAGACAAATGAACACATAGAGAGAATGCGATCATAATATGTTGGTGAATCTCTCCTTGTTTGGGCATTTGGGCAAAGGCAGTGCAGCTGTAACTCGTGCAGTGACAGAAACAGAAGTTTGGAAAAAGAGAAAGAAAAACTAAGGAAGACAAGGAGTGAATAAGACAAGTGAAGGAAGGGAAACCAGCCAATGGAAAGGCAAAGAAGACCAAAACTAAATAAATAAAAGACAGTAGAGCCAGTAGAGTAAACACTTACCAAACACCCAGTAATCCTAAACCCCAGCCCTAACCGAGACCATAGCTACAGCACAGCAGACTTGCATGTTTACATCGACGGCAGGATCCCTCGAAGGTCTGCCTCTCAACAATCACAGGAAAGCCTCACGCAAAAGCACGAGGGGGGGGAACGACACTCGCACACCAGCCAGTCTCTGACCTCCATCTTTTCACTCTCACTCACCCTCTGATTTGCCTCTCCAACTCTGTTAAATACTGAGGAGAACGATCATTTTACAGTCTTCACTCTTTAGCAGGAATCCCCTCTGAGGCACGCAGCAACAGCTCAGGCAGGCTACTTGCTCTTCCTGCTTGCCTGCACTGGTATCTGCTCTAACCGGACCAGCCACTGAGGAATACTGTAGGGAAGGAGGTGACATCGACAGGTGCTCCCTCCCTCCCTCCTTCCTTCCTCGTGTAAACAATACACACTTTCCTGCAGCAACTCTAAATGGGACTTTCTGTTTGATAATAAATACCAGGGAACACATTCAATTAATTTAACTGTAGCTCAACTAAAGTGTCACTCGGGAAAAAGAAAGATACGTGAGATATAACAGGGAATTAACATTAATAATGAGCAAAATCTCTTTAGCCCCGTTTGCCCTGTGCTGGATTCCCAGGAATATGGTGGGTTGGAGCAAAGCCACAGAGGAAAGGGGATTGTGTGTGTGTGTGACAGAAGGGAGTGTGGATGAATCACAGAGAGGCAGGCATAGATTGAGTGAGTGAGTCAGAGGGCATGTCCCTCCACAGGCACACAAACTCTGCTAGAGACGATCTTCCTGGTTGTCCATTGATGCAAGCCAGGACATGGCTGCAGGCAATAAAGAATCAGTAGCTCCTAGTCAAGCTCACTCCAATGCAATTTTTCCACAAGACAAAAAATAAATAAAGAAGTCCACGCCGACCACAGCTCTGCTATAAACAAAAATCTTTTCATCATCCCACACGCAAAGAAATGACAACTTTCTCTTTTGGGCTCGGTGGCACAGAGGTGAGTTATATGATTACAGTGACAACAGGGTGTGTGACACAAATGTGCAAGAAAAAAAATGTCCACATACTGGATTTCTTTTGAGTACAATATGTGAGTAACCAGACAATTTAGCATTCTATAAATGTCACAGTACATAAATGGTTCATAAAAGCTTTAACAGTGCCATAATATGAGAGATGTAACATGAATCAATGGCTTAGCGCAGCATAAACGGAAGAAACACGCTACCTGTTCTTTGACAGAGGCCAGTATGTTGTTGGCGGTGTTGTCAGCTTCCATGTTGCGGCCAGTTGAACTGTTGCGGATGGTCAGCAGAAGCCCCTCCTCCGTCACTGGGCTCTGCTCAGGAGCTGGCATTCCTCCTGTATGGACAAACACACACACAGAACTGTTCAGCACAGGCGCTCATCTGAAAGAGAAAAAAAAAACAAATAAAAAAAACCCACACCATCTTGTACATACATACCACACTGTGTATGTATGTGCAAATACACTACAGTCATAAATACACACTTGAGTCGACCACTCCCCGATATGCACAGGCGAGTGATGCTGAAGAAGTGACTATCAATGGTCACACGCCACCACCAGCAATACACAAACACACACCCACACATGCCATATGGCCCAAAGGGAAAAAGACTGTCGATGCTTCACGTCTACGACAGTGCAAATCAGTGCCAGATGGCCTTAACATGAGTTAAATAATGATGTGTGTGTGTGCATTACAGTCACATAAAAAAGAAAATACAACACAAACAGAACAACATCCAACGACTCCAATGAAGACACAAAACAATGGAAATTCAAATCCCGTGCAATACAATGACTAAAATACCAAGCATGTGCGCGCACAGGTGAATATAATACGTGTGTATAAGATGCAGTGGAGAAGTTGAAGGAGATCAGCGAGGCCAGGCCTTTGGAAAAAACAAAACAAAAAACCAGTCAGCAGATAGAAGAGATAAGGTGTTCCTGTCTCCTTCTCTCTCTGGCCTCTTGTCCAGGATTGAAATGAGAAAGTAGAAAGAATAGTTATGGTCTTATTATATCTGTTGACGGGGAGAGTGTCTGGGGAACGCTGCTCAAGGTGGATCCATATTTACTAGAAGGAGCCTGTTGAGCCCGACAGGGCAGCTAAAGGCTGCGATGGCACAGCTCAGGGCTGCAGCTGCAGACAAAAGCATTGGATCTAATAACACAGGGAGGTATGTGACTTTAGGGAAACGGGGATTTTGCTATGACTTTTACTGCCTTAGAGATCCACTGCCGCTGTCATCTCCAAGATTCAAGTACAAAGACATATTCCTGCTGTTTGTTCCAACACAGATCTATCTTGACCTGCATGTTTTACTTTACTAAACCAGACACGTGTGCCGACATCTTTACATATGAATATGTAGAGTAATATCCGCTACTAAAATCACCATTAAATAACCATATGGTCATTTACAAAATAGCCCTGCCGCTAGCAACGGAATATTCCCTCTATGTCTATTACATTCATAATCCATAATAGCAGCCTGAGGCCGATTGGAAGATCTGATATACCATAGCTTTTGCTGTATTAGTCAAATTCATGCTGAAAGACATCATTTGAAATATGTTTAAGTTCTCATGCCATGTAAAAGCACTCACTAACTCGAATCCGCGTGCGCACACAGACACACACGAGTAAGGAATAATTTAGCTCAGGCTGACAGCCAGTTTGTGCGAGCTGGTTGTGTGTTGCTGGGTTGTTTACAGTGAGAACATAAAGGTTTTTGGCCAGGGATGAGGAATTAGCCCGGGGGAGGACTAAGTACGTGGGAGGTCCCTCAGACATTTGGACGAAGTGTGACCCTGAGGTATTCTGGGAGTCTGTCACCAAGGCAGCGTGAGCATTTCAAGGTGTCTGAGCTGAACCAAGCCATAACCCAAATGACAGACATGGTTTTACTACTTTACCAAGTATGTGAGTCCACACAGGACCTTCCATGTGTCCCCCCTGTCAGTCTCCCAAATTCCTCTCCTGCTCATTCATAGTGTTGCAACATACCGCCCACCTCCACCACAGCCTTTGAATCAAGGACATGGCACTTGATTCCCAGAAAACACAGCAACAGGAAATGGGGAAAACTGTCTGAATTTGGCAGAACTCCTCACTGACGTCTGTACAGACAGAGAGGAGAACAACACAGACAGAAGTTGCTGCCTGGCCGGCCAGCCGATCTCTCTCTCTCTCTCCCCCTCCCCCCCCCCCCCCCCTCTCTCTCTCTCTCTCTCTCCCCCTCTCTCTCCCCCTCCCCCTCCCCTGATGGTAACTGTCATTTAAAGTCACCATAGATTAAGTATAAAATGTGCCTTATCGAGTCTTTCTGTAACCCTTCACTATTTGAGAAAACACACCTTCAATCGAAAAATGACTTACTAGTGAAAAAAAAACAAATATCCTCACGCCTTGACCAAAATCTGTGTTTATAATCTGCCCAAATGAAAATTTCTCAGCAGCCTAAACCTCACTGTAGGAAAGTGCACACTAAGCAGACTGTAGGAAATAGAACCACAGAAAAACCAACATACAAAAAGGAAAGCAAACCCTATTGAAGGCACCATTAAGCAAAGAAAAATTGTGATGAGAGCCTACCTCTGAAATTCCCCATTAACTCTGGTCCAGAATTATTTCACTCTGCTCAGCTCGGAGTTCTCAGCAGCTCTGAGAGAAGAATGAAGACAACGAAGCTGCTGCCAACCTACCACAGTCCTATAGGCGCTCGGCTGACTGGTTCTTCAACATTTCCCTTTGTGTTTTCACTCCAAATGCTGAACTGCCTAGCGGTAAAAAAGTTTGGTATGCCAAGCTCTTAGACAGTTTGAAGAGCAAGCACAAGACCAAGAAGTAGGTGAGAAGCTAATGGAAGCTAGCACAATATGTGCAGCTTTCAAGGCTGTCATTAGGATAATGCCTAAGGACCATACTGTAGTTCCCACAGAGTAAAGATGACCTCATTCTGGTCTAAACAAACCAGTGTGTAATTATTACCATTTGGGTTATTTCCCTCGACTAAGCAGAAAATAAACCCTCTGTACTGGACAGCATTATATGATCTTTGAGCATAGCTTAATAACAACAAACCTGGTTACTTTAAACAACATTTATTACTATACATCATGGAATAATATGCATGTCTTTCACTAGAAACTCTTTCTAGTCAATGGTTAATCTCCCCTTTAAAGTATTATAATCTTCAGTGTCTCCAAGTCTGCCAAGAAAAGCCTTAGTTGGACCCCGCCCTGACTCATCGGATCACATGATCTGATCTACTGACCTCAGTCTCCGGCCACTCCTCTGAGCCTCTTATGCAACCCCTCTTTCCGTGACTCTCCCTCTCCCACATCAAATGCAGTTTATGGTGCTAGGAAGGGAAAGGAAACAGAAGCTATGGGGGAAGGTGCTTTAATATCTGTTTAAATATTACCACTATATACCAACTCTGTTAAAGTGCCCAATGTTAATGAAAGAAAATGCTGCTTAAGAGAGGTTTGACAGATCTACTTCAAATACTGCCTCCCTGCATCAACCTCATCCGCAGACATAAATTCATCAGCGCTCTGATCTCTCCGAAAGCCACCTGTGCCTTGTGTCACCTTCCCCAAGTAGCACTGCAGTAGCAAATATAATATCAGCTGTCACACAGGCTACGTTTACACGCCCAGAGGAAACCAGGTTACTAGGAGAAATCAAGTTAAAGCAGGAAACCAGAGGACATATTTATATGCACCGCAGTAACACGCTTATTGTAACTCCTGGGTTTACATGCAGCTGGTCAGTAGGCACATCTGTCTCAGGGCACAAATTTAGTTAAGACTGCATATTTAAGTGTACTGGTGATTTACCATGCTGAACCCAGAAGAACTGTTTTTGTTTCTAGACAGCAATTGGATTGAATGTGCGATGAGAAGTCAGGCCCTACTGTAGAAGAGCACACGGTTTCCATAACTGTGTTCATGTATCAGAATTTTACAAATATCCTTTTAACTTAAACGATTAATACCAACCCATTTAGATGTTTTTCTGTTTCAGTCTGACTTTTGATTTGATTATTCTGGTTTCAAGGATGTATTTTTTCATTCCACTCCATTGCTGTCACACTTATACTACCTGTCTGAAGTGTTTGTCATGTTCGCTTATAAAAAACACAGTTGGAAACCTGGTAAAACACATGCATGGCTGAGAAATCAGGTTAGTCTCTTAATCCCTCATTGCTTGCATGACATTTAAGAAATGAGCTTGCTGCACAAAATCAGACAGTAACCGGGTGACTTAAGTGCACATAACTGCACTGACTGACATATTCCCTTTATTTCTTTTCTACTTCCAGAAGAGATAAACTGCCATCACCTGAACACACGCAGTGTTTCTGTAAGTCAAAAGACCCATTGTCTGTCAGTCAGCGGGTGGAAGATTTGTCTTCAGGAGGCTGAGTGACACTAGGTCATAGATGTTCAACAGAGACAAATGGAGATGAGCTGAGAAATAATTATACATTAGCCTGAATCTCAATTGCAGGGAGTCTTGGAGAAGCAGCAGTTCAAATGTTGATTGCTCTGACTTGCTGAGCTAAAAAAGGGCGGCATAGTCTACAGCACAACAGAGCTAAGAGCCGCTTAGAGAACCTACAACAAGCAACGTCTCATGTGTGTACTGCACCTCTTTTTGGAGACAAAAGAAGTGATAAGTAAAAGTAAATTACCTTCTTCCTAAAACTGTTTGAGTTCCACATACAAAACCAAACTTGGTATCCATCCATTATTAAGTGAAATCACAAAATACTCTCTTGTAGGAGCTACATTGTGTGCAGTGAGCTAATAAATATTTCACCATGTATCAAGCTTAACATCCCATTAAACCTCTACGTCTCCATATGCACCTCTCAGGATGTCTGAAACAAACATGAAGTGGTCAAACAAAGTACATGCTTGAAATATAGACTGTATATCTAAGATGAATCGACCATGGCAAACTAGAAGAGGGACAGTCATGAGGCGATGAGAGCTGGAGTTGACCAAATGAGATATTCACTGATTAGCACAACTTCAACTGGAGGAGCTGATCAGTGTAATCATCTGGTGTATTTTTAATGTAAACCGTCATAGGCCCCTGTGGCACATAGTTGCTTCAAACTTATCTAGAGTGACATAGCAGCACTATGTACCATGTGAAAGCTTTGTGGGGGGGGGGGGGGGGGGGGCAGTCCCATTACTAATCTCTCAACAGCTTCAACAACATCCCAAAGGACCCACAATACTAATTGATTTTTTCAAAACAGCGACTTCACTGAATCAAACTATTTCTGCTCCAGATTAATTTATCAGAATTCACCAAGATGAACAATAATATATTACGGCCTGAATAAATCCCCAGAATGA